ACAAATGAACAAGGTAATGCTTACTTCAATCTTTCCACCACTAAACTGTTACTAAGAATATACAATAACAACTGCCATCATAGACATAAATATTCCATTAATTTGTTACTTCCTTTTAACTCCTATATTAACTTATTGCACATTTTTTTTTTGTAACATTTTTTTTTTGTAACGTGACATTTCTGAAGGAGAGGAAATGACATGGATAATCATATTGTTGGGGGTTTATTTCATGTGATATCTGGGAACCCTCAGCTCTAACCAACAACTCTTTATAGACCTTTACAAGTCTAGTAATTCACTTGCTCCCTGTTTAGACAAAGAGGGACACTACAGGTACCCAGACCAATTCATGTCAGTGATGTGGTCTGGATGCCCTGTCCCTGGCTGCGTAACCTTGGAATATAAAACATTACCTTCCTGCATGAACTAAGTAATGTTTTAATTGCAGGCTTTATGATGCATCCCCCAAAACAGAAGATTAAAACTCTTCTATTTCAGTGATCTCGTAGACCATCACCTATTTCCAATGGGACAGCACTGAATTTGCTGAGATCATCCTTCTTGATGATATCAGCCATGGAGGCAGAACCAGTGACTTGGGGTATGAGGATGAAAATGTAAGTATAATCATCTTTCTCTTTCACAGAGGGGAGGCCGGTAACCTAACTAGTTAGAAGGGTACAATAGCATTAGGACACTGTAGGAACTGTAACTGCTGTAACTGGAACTGCCTTAACTCATTGAAGTGGCTACAATGTGTGGAGTCCCCTGGTGCCATCCTTCCATTCACTGTTCTTAATATTTAACTGCTTTACGAGAGTTCCTGGCAGCCAATTCCCTTCCTTGCTGAATTGACCCATGAAGAAGCATTAGCTTGGGCAGCAATGGGAGGCTGTGATTGGCTGAGATTGTCAGCATATCATAGTGGTTATTCACGCATGAATTAGTATGACTAGAAGGAAGTGTGCAATCTCTGCCTTAGCCATACTGGGGCTGGGTTATGGTAGACTCATTCAGTGTTATAATGCTCAAAACTGGTTAAATACTGAATGAATGGACAGCACCAGTGGGACTATAGCCAGGTCAATGAGATAGAAAGATAAAATAGTCATAGTGCTTATAGTGCAATTCAACATGAAGGATCCACTGCGTGTGCACAACGCTGGAAAGAATGAAGTTAAAACAAATTTTCTTATTACATAAAAATACCCAAGAGTGTAATACTCAGAAAAGGCATCTAAAAATATGAAAAATATAAATAAATGATTAATTATTTTATTATAAAAGATGTTTTCTGGATGGAAAAAGCAGGGGCCTTACTAAAATAGTGCAGGCTATCTGATTTTGTTGCTTATATGAAATGACATGGCGATGTGTATTTATTTATGGCCCCGACGTGTCACATGCCCTAATTTCCTAACTCATTTCTCTTTTTTACCTGCCAATGACTTCCAGATAGTGGGTAACTGAACCCCTTTATTGTGACCTATTGAAAGGGTCACCAATGCCTTAATATAGATTGTTTCTGTATCAAACTTAATGCAGAGACACATTTAAATCCACATGTAACCGTTATTGGATTTCCCATTTTACTACTGTAATAACCTTATAGTGTAGAACAAACATTGCAGAGAAAGACAATAAAAAATACCCATGAAGATAAGTCTATAAAGCTAAATAATCTCTATGTTTATACAGCACCACATAAAAAACAAGACATCAGAAATAAATGGAGAGAACGCATCAAATTTTAGTATGAACACATAAATAATAAATACAGCTCATCTTTAATACATTGATCAGCTCCAGATTTGTTACGATAAGTAACTTAAGAAAAAATATTTGTTAAGAGAAAACGTGTGCTCAATGATTTCACTTGTGAAAAATGTATTACTGTTGTTCTTATTATATGGTGTGTAAAATATATGAGTAGGTCAGAACAAACATGTCCATAATGCTCTTTATTTTACTGCAAAAATCGCATTTGGTAAGCCATGGCACGTCTACCATCTACCATTCAGACTCTCGATGCTCAGTATATTGTCTGGCCTTCGAGCCAGCATGCAGGTGTCTCTTTAGAACAAGTGGAATTACACAACTTCTTGCACAACACAAGAAAAGCTCAAGTGTATGTCATTGCCTTATTTCACTCTCTTAGATTGATACATTCGGAAATGTGCAAAATAACACCCAGGTTACACACAAAAAGACTGGCCTTCTTCATGTCTAAACCCCGGATGGAGGAAATTGATTATGGCAATTAAGTATTTTTTTTCCATCTTAAGTACAAGTACTGTGACTATTATTGGGAGCAACATTCATTTACAAAATAACAATAAGTTGTGACAGAAACTGGGCATTATATAGCTATGGGTATTTATTTGCCACTGCTAGTATGAAGGTACAGTTCTGACATTGCCAGTGGTGGTTATTTATACGCTGCGTTTTAATAAAGTGGGCAAGATATCTGGACATTATATAAGAGTAGATGGTATGGCTTCAATCTAATAAGCCTTCCAAATAATTTGATACTGTTAGAAAACGATACATATGATTCAGCCACAAAAAAATCCCATAGACTTTAATAGTGACTTTTGTAGATGAATCTAACAGTATTGAATAGATTTAATTGAGGCCGAATCTTCATTGTAGGATGCTTCCTAATCACAAAACGAAGTATTTCCAATAAAACACACACACAAACACATCCACACACACACACATCCAGATCATATTCGCTTTGGGCTGATCAGCCCACCCATCCACTCTAGGTGCCCCTTTGGAGGTGACCAAAGGAAAGTGTAAATTTGAGGAGAGCCTCTGGAAGCAGTTGGGGATATTGTACCGATAGAACCGATATTGGGGTACTGTGACGTAGTGGTGGACTTAAAACAATATGTCCATATGGTGTAACTGAATCCCCATATTTCTTTGCTAAGATAGATGGTTTTAAGTAGCCTTGTAACAATTACATTTTTGTTTAACTGTGCGCTGTTCCTTAATCTATATTTTGCATATATTTTGGTCTTTACAGCAGCGTCACTACTTAGAAATGCATGTTCCGGGTGTGCCCACAATTCCCTTTTTTTCAGCAAAACAATAACAACATATTTTCATTAGCAATTACACTGATTTATTAATCATATAGTAGGCTAATAAATAAATAAATTTTACCGGTGTAGAATTGATTTAGCATGCTAAAAGTACGTGGCCATATATCCTTTCAACATGCTATTTTTCAATATTTTTCATATATATTGTCATTAACTAGTTTTCTTATCAGCGCTATAATATTTAGCATTTTAGTTTTTGGGGTTAAAACGCCACTGCGGAAATTAAGAAGGAACAGTGATTGCTGTGACTTTTTTCCATAACACGTTAGACTCTAAAACTTGTTCATATATTTGGTAAAGTATCTCAAAAATTCTAATTCTTTAAAATGCTAATTTTAATTCTTAATTTTTTTATTTTATTTGAGGGGCATTAGACCCTCGAGAGGTGCTTCTCAATGATGTTAAAGCTGGCTTGTCGCATATTAGTACATCTCCCTTTAGAGGAGATCATGATACGCAGACTAAATGGCTAAATACTCACATTTAAACCCGAAACAACATTTCCTCTATCAATCAAAATAATGATGCTTTTTTTATGAAGCTGTTTGCTGCTCGAAAGGTAGATGTATTAATCATTTTATCGCTATGTGCTGGTGAATGCACTTTGTGACAGTTTACTTGCTCTATATGTGTTGCGTTTCTTAGCTCCGGGTGGTAAAACGCTGGCTTACAGCCAACCTCCCTTGATGTGTCAAAATTCATAACCCTACTCACATTGAAGCCTCCCAGTAGGATTTGGAGACGCAAGATGTATGAGACTTTTGCCGGGCGATTTCTACTGTAATAATACTTAAGGAGATTAAAATATGTTCTCGAACATTTCAGCACTTTCTAAAAATATATGACAGAACCGGTTCTTCATTATAAGAGGGCAATGGTAGTGTAAAATCTGCAGCGTACGCAACCAATTTGACGTTATTTAATCTATTGCAGATATTATGATCATTTATAAGACAGTCTTGGAGGTAGACCAAAATTTTAACAGTGATGCATTGAACATTTAGGCTTCCCATTATGTCAATCGCAAAATATGATGATCTGTACCCCCATTTGAACTCTGGAAGAACTCTTGACTAATTCCCATGTATTTGCAGTGAAACTATGCAGAAGGTAGCAGTATGAAAAAGCGATTAAATGACCATTCCCCTGTGTTCTGAATGTATGTTTGCTTTTCCGTGGAATTTAACTAATGTATTTAACAACCATAACTGCAATTGTTTTTGCTAGGGAAAGTGTATATTATTACTCCGTATAAGCAGTAATCCAGCTGTTTAACATACTGGGAAAAATAGTTAAAATATAGATTCAAATCTAGGCTTATGTGCAAGCAAAGTTGTTAAAAGAACTGCTAGCACAGTGATACAGTACCCATGGCCTGTCTTTATTATGCCCCAATGATTTGCAAAGGAAGGAGACCAGACGTTCGGAGATTTTTCATATCACTACAGTTGGCGAACTATATTTTCTTGTAAGATAAAAATTGCCCCTAACTTTTGACTTTAAATCAAGTGTTCTCTTTGTGGAAAAAAAAAATTGTCTCTGCAAATTAAGCAGCAGAGAACCTGTTTTACTAATCATAGCGTTCAGATTTTCCGTGAAATGAACATCTGTTTCACCAGTTTTTTTAATTTCATTTTTAGGACTTCTTTGTAGAAATGTCTGACAGTAGAGGAAACAAATGGTTTTATGCTGTATTGCAAATAATTTCAAATTTTTGCCATGCATATTAAGAGATACCAGGCCATAAAAGAGTATACAAATGAAACTTTAGTACAGTGTGCACAGTCCCACTGTTAGTAATTAGTGATGTTGCGAACCGTTCGCGAACTTGCCACGAACGGTTCGTGGCGAACTCCGGTCATCTGACACATCCCTGCCAATCTCCGGCAGACCCTCCCTCCCAGACCCTCACACCCCCTGGACAGCATCCATGTTGAAGCTGCCTTCAACATGGATGCTGTCCAGGAAGTAGGAGGGTCTGGGAGGGAGGGTCTGCCGGAGATTGGCAGGGATGTGTCAGCTGACCGGAGTTCGCCGCGAACGGTTCGTGGCGAACCGTTCGCGGCAAGTTCGCGAACGGTTCGCGACATCACTATTAGTAATCAGACTGTCTTCTACCAGTTTGACACTTACCTGACCCACTCATCCAACAAACTCTATTTGATTTATCTAATGCAGAATTTTTTTTTCCACTTTAGCCATATCTGAAGTGAGAGTTGGACCGGGGGTGTGTGAAACATTTGTAAAACAGTTTAAAAAGCTGGATGGATAGACAGACAGACAGACAAATGGACAGACGGACAAACAGCAGCCAGATCTCCAACCAGTGGTCAAGATCCCCGTTACAGAGGAAAAGGCAGTTGAAATATTTTTTTTTGTTCCTCTTCGTGCACCTAATGGGGATTTAGGTAAACATATTGACAGAATGGAATTAAAAATATAAAGGTTTGTGAACATGGATTAAAAGTTGCCTAGGGCCATTAATTTGTTTCTTAGGAAGTCCTGTGCCTTTTTGAGAGAATACAATGCCCTGTCCAAAAGCTGGCCCCTAGCCCAATGGTTGTGAAGAAAGCCTAACCAAGAGGCTTTTGTAACTTTTGACTGTGATATTTGAGCTTGGTTTCTGCTCTTTTTTCTTTTCTTGGTTTTGTTTTTCTTTTTTTAGATTGTTCGGCTTGTTATATTTTTTATTTTTTATGTAAGCCTACACCAGTATTATTGACATTTCTTATTTGTTCCATTGTTCTTCTTTCCTCAATGAAATTGAAAATAAAGATTATTAAAAAAAACTTAATACCAAAAAGATTCTACCTCAGAAAAGTATAGTAAAATGGTGTCTAAACTTTCCAGAAAAGAAAACATGTACAACCACACCAGCTGACACAAACATAACCCTTTCTATGGTCTTAGCTGCTGCACAGAATGTAACCATGTCAAAACATTAAAATATATTACAGGCCTTCGGTTGCATTAAAAACCATTATCAGCGACTGTAAGATACCTAAATAACTTGAGGCAACTCATAATTGTGATATAAAAAGAATAGGAACTTTCACTGATTCTCAAAACTGTGTGCAGGGATAATGAAAAACAGGTAGTGGCCACACAAATTGTTACTAGTCCTTCCTCCACCCCATGGCCTGTGGGGTTGAGGGTAGTGATAAATGGTGGATTTGGGAGTCCTCAAGCCCCACAGCCATTTCCAGAACCAGGGATTAATATTGATGTGGACAAAGCCCTCTTTCTCTAAATAAAACCATTTCACTTCCAACCACAGAAGAGTACCTAAGTCCACTGGTTCCAAGACAAAGTAATCCACCACTGCCCACTCCACTATTCCCCAAGGGTCCCCAAGCCTTTCGTCACCAATCTCATAATATGCTAAATAAAGCCTAGCAGTGAAGTTTATAGCTGTCATGCAGATTAGGGGAATTTGTAAAAATTTCCACTCGCCATGCTAGTCATTGGTGAATGCAAATTTAGCCTTTGCAAGTACAAATTCACCCTTGGAGGGTATGATATGGCTTGAGTGTCAGGAAACTTTTAAGGCGTAGTTTGTAGCATAGGGCTACACATTTTAAGCTCTGATAATAATAATAATATTAATCATATTAACTCTGTATCAGGGATACCCTCGCCCAATTATAAGATGGCCTTGCAACTAGCCATAAGAAAGCAGGGTGCCCAATCTTTTTGCTCTGTTAAATTCTATCACCCACCCAATACGGGATAAACGATGCTCAGCCATTTGGCCGAAAGTACCAGATGATTGAGCATCCTCATACATGCCACCTTCTCAACTTTAGTAATTAACAAACAGATAATACCACACTCCCACTTAGGAATGAAGGCGCTTATCAGGGCCAGGGTTGGCAAAACCCAGTTTAGTAGATACAATAAATTAAGTCCAGGCACTCAGGATTGCTGAAGGAAGGCAGGTTTATTGAAACATTTTAACTTCTCAACTTTTAACAATGTCCTACCTATCCCTTTCCTCTAACAAATATTTTCCAAAATAAACTTTCTAAAAAACCATAACCTGAAACCCAGAGGTGTGGCCCTACGACAAACATTCTTACATTCTGTCAATGAAACATTATTTTACATTTAGTTTTATACAGTGTTGCAAAATTATTTTTTGCAGTGGGGCACATTAACCCTGCAAATGAGCCAGACGAGGAGGTTCTTTGATGTTCTTTTGTGAGAAGGGATCATGGGAACCTCTAAACGAGGAATAATATGTATTCAGTTTGTCATACATTGTTTAGTCTAAGATCAAAATGTTACAATAGTCGTGTTTTTAGTTTCAGATGATCATGTGCAAAGTTTAAATAGGGGATCATAAAAAGACATGTTTTAGACTGATTGTCAATGAGAATTAAGTTATTTATCATTTCTTTGAGCCTCTTCTAACTTACCACCGCAATATCTATAAACTGACAGGTGGCTGATACTTTAAATCAAAATATATAGTTATTATCTATTATGTGTAAGATTTTAGAGATATACAGGTGGGTTTCTGTGCAAAGAAAATTATCCCAGCATTATAACTTGGTTCCCATTAAGCTTTGTAAATCATGTTTCATGTTTTGTGTCCCAAGGGCATGTTTTTTAAAGTCAGTTAGATCAGTACTTTTGGCTAAAAGAACAGTCAAAGAGTAAATAAGGAGAAACATGCCTCACCAGAAAAAGTATACAATAATTATATGTGCAAACACGTAAAAAATAATAATAATAAAATATATACATTAAGTAAAAAATTACACATACAAAATGAAAAAGGGACATCAGAGACCAAAGAGTTGCTGTTTTTTTTGTTTTGTATTGGGAGTCAGGACTTAGCTACAACACTTGGAGCACCATGAAAAGGCAACAAAAATAAATTTAACTTTCATATTCATACGTGTTTTATATGTGAAGAGTGTCATCTTTTATTATTTTACAAAAAGTGCAGATTTCAATAGATATTGACACTTTTATAAATCAGATCATGTTACTTCCTGGTTTGCTTAACTTTTGCAGGAAATTGCCTAGAGCACGTGCTTTGCAAAGGCATCTCATTGAGCTGCACTGGGAAGTCTGTGATTGGATAGCCACAGAAAGTCTGGGCGGGGTTAGAAAGGGAGGGCTTGGAAACAGTGGCGTCGCTAGGGGGGATTAGGGGGGGCCAGAGGGGGCCATGGCACCTCCTACATCATGCTGTGGCCCCCCTTGCCCCCCCCCCCCAAATGCCTGCAACTTGCTGGCCATGTTCTTCCATTATATTCCCTCGGACTGTTACAGCCCGAGGGAATGCAGGACTGAGGTGCTGGGGGCTGTCTGTGGCTGGAGGGAGCACTGACAGGCACCCCGGCACAGGCCCCCCCCAAACGAAGTCCCGCCTCCCGCACATAAGCCCCTCCCCGCCGTAAACCAGCAGACCTTGCTACTGCAGAACATGGCTGCCTGACCCCCAGCAACAGCCTCCAGTGACAGGTAGGCTTGGTGTGTGTGTGTATGGACATAGCAGTGTGTGTGTGCATGGACATAGCAGTGTGTGTGTGTATGGACATAGCAGTGTGTGTGTGTATGGACATAGCAGTGTGTGTGTGCATGGACATATCAGTGTGTGTGTGTATGGACATAGCAGTGTGTGTGTGTGTGTATGGACTCAGCAGTGTGTGTCTGTGTGTGGACTCAGCATTGTGTGTGTGGACTCAGCAGTCTGTGTGTGGACTCAGCAGTCTGTGTGCAATAGCCCCCCCCCCCGAGAAAACCGACGGTCTCCCTCTCCCCTGCCAGCACATGCAGGTGCTAGCCCTGCAGTGTGCCTGTGGACCGGAGGGGAGATCAGAGATCTCCCTCCCCATTCCGCAGGCACTGTGCTGACAGCCGGCAGGGGAGGGAGAGAGGACCTGGGAACTCTGCCTGCAGCTCCTCCCGGTCCTACTCTCGCGAGCATGGAGCATTGCCGTGGTAACCGCGGCAACGCTCCAAATCTCGCAAGAGTGAACTCTTGCCCTGGAGCGCGGGCTAGAGTTCACTCTCCCCACTGGGACCACCAGGGATTCACCACCGGACCACCAGGGACTAAGAAGTGTCCCCCCTCCTTCCAGTAAAGGTAAGAAGGGAGGGGGGACATAAATATTTATTTTAATTAAATAAAATATATATATATATATTATAAAAAAAAAGCCCTACACACACACACTACACTGCCCCCATACACACACATTGCCCGCCATACACACACACACATCCCCCATACATACACACACACATTGCCCCCATACTGCCCCTGCATACACACACACACACACACACTGCCTCCATACACACACACTGCCCCCCATACTGCCCCCCCACACACACACTGCCCCATACACACACACTGCCCCCCATACACACACACTGCCCCCCATACACACATACTGCCCCCATACACACACACTGCCTCAATACACTCATACTGCCCCCCATACACACACACTGCAGTCTGTGTGTGTGTGTATGGACTCAGCAGTCTGTGTGTGTTTATGGACTCAGCAGTCTCTGTGTGTGTGTTTATGGACTCAGCAGTCTCTCTGTGTGTGTGTATGGACTCAGCAGTCTGTGTGTGTGTGTGTGTATGGACTCAGCAGTCTGTCTGTGTGTGTATGGACTCAGCAGTCTGTGTGTGTGTATGTATGGACTCAGCAGTGTGTGTCTGTGTGTGGACTCAGCATTGTGTGTGTGGACTCAGCAGTCTGTGTGTGGACTCAGCAGTCTGTGTGTGTATGGACTCTGCAGTCTATCAATAATTAAAATTCCTGTGAGTTGTTGTGTAGGAAGGGCCCCAGTGTATTGCTTTACCCAGGGGCCGTTAACTCTGTTAAAATGGTACTGCTTGTGTGTGTCAGTGAGCTTGTCTTTAGTGAGCTTGTGTGTCCCCTGAACTTCTTTGTAGTGAGCCTTCTGTTTATACAAGTGAGTTTGTCTGTAGTAAGCTTGTGTGTGAGTCAGAGAGTTTTG